ATATAATCCACAAAGAACACACTTTAGCCTGATTCAAAGACCAGACATGTGAAATGTCCTAATGTGCTGCATGTTACACAATCCACATGCCATCTCCTGGGTCAGAATACACATTAAGAGCTGCATTAGCAACAGTGCAAGGAAGGGATCAGTCCCATATTGTCTGTAGTTTCTCAGACATCAAATGGCTCCCCACGTATGGCGGCATTAGCACAGCGGGCATAATCCACTTTACACCGTCTCATTGGCACACTTATTTATGGCAGCACATTAGCCACTGCACACAGCTACCGGCTCCCTCTGTCCGACTAATCACAAAATAGTCTTTCATTATCTCTGCGGTGTCTCTAAAATATTTGAATACTGACGCTTCAGTATTTCCAACAAAAGCCACCTTCAAACGGGGCTAGGGTACCTAATCGTGCTGCAGAGGGACCAGGTGGAAAACGGTGGATTGTACTTTCTGTTGTTTCAAGCTCAACTCTGATGGACACAGTCCTATTGTCAGTATTTAAATGGATTATGACAAGATCTAGGAAAGCGTAATAATACGTCTGGTGAAAATATGAGCCCAATGAGTGCACGAAAAGGAGAATCCGCCTCTGCTTACTGAAGTATAAGTAATTTATGAGGCTGAGAAAGGTCTTTTAGAGGTGGACTGTTGTGATTTACTTATTTGATATGGCTTCCCCACAAATCTAAATCAACCATTTCAGATGGAAATCAGATGTATTGTAGTGAAATGAAAGGCCAAGAAAAAAGTAAAGAAGCTTCTCCCCAGTCCCAATACCACATGTCTTACAGTGCAGCTGCACTGCAATTTTGTCTATTGGATCTGATGTGGATGCAGAGAGTTGTCTCAGTGCCTCTTGCACAATGAATTTCTTATTCTGTGATAGAAAACATCATTATAGAAAAAAGGAGTCTCTGCTCACTGTCTGGAGTCTCTGAGAAGCTGTCGGCACTGGTGGGTTTACTGTTGACATTTTGGATGACAGTCAGTAATCAAAATCGATTTCTGATTATACACTAAAGACGCTGTCAATGTTTGACAATGGAATAAAACAAAACTGGCTCACAAATGCAGGGTACACAAAGAAATAAGATTTACATCTCCATTGTCTATAGTAAAGGCTTCTTAGATTCAAATGTCACAGTGGCACAGTGTCTGATGTCTATTCAACACTGAAATAATGATGCAATATAATGATGGACGATGTATCAGCCAAAATATCACAGACATGGGTGCTGCCATCTTTCACTGGTGACGTCAGTCTGCGCAGTAGCAATCATGGTGTGGAACCTTTTCTCATTGTCCCAAATAAACACCCACCCAACCAATCACAAGACAATCTTAGCTGACAAACATCAATGTGATAAGAACTACTTTAAACACCAAAACACTACTTGAATTTGTCAACAACAAACACTACAACACTATTTTTCCTGAAACTACTTACTAATCCTCTTCCCTTGTACTTTATGTATCCCTGTTATTTATATCTAATAGGTATACTTTTCTTTGATCTATATTATTAATATTATTATTTATAGAGCTGTAATGGAGCCGGCGTGGACAGCTTGATTACAACAGAAGCGTATAGGTTGCATTACTCGCATGTGAGGAGAATGAGTAAAGAGTAAAGTGACTGAACTCAAAGTTGGAACCTTGAATCATTTCACATTCATGTCAAAGTGACTCTTTTCAAATTGCAAATTGAATTGTTACAAAGCAATATATATGGAAATATCTGGAAAGTATGTTAAGGCACATTATTGCAGCCTCATATCTGTCCATTAAAGATAAGGTTGAATTAACAGTGATTTCATGGAATCTTGCTTTTGTCATGAGGTTACCATATCAGCAGGGGACACTGGTTCTATGGACCAACTCATGGCAAGAAAGCAAATAAGCGTGATTCCAAATGATGAACTATACCTTGAGGCAAGTTTTAAATACTTCTGAAGAGAAGCATCTTTGTTTTCTAGCCTCTTAAACTGGTCGGAATCTTAACGTTTAAAAATCAAACTATATTTGTACTCCGCTGTGTCTTTAAGATGAGCACCGAGATTTTTTTAGATGCTCGTTTCAGGGCGTGCGACTAATTCTTATAGATCAGCGGTGACATTTGAGATCAAATGTCACTGAGCAAGAACAGGACGCTCACTTTTAGCTGAGGCCCAATACTTAGATATGATAAAGAATGGAGCAGCAACAGAGGGGGGAAAAAACTCCAGCAAACAGCATATAAGAAAAACTCAGTTCCCGTCACTAGAGAATGCGACTAAATGTGTTATCTCTCCGTCCTCTGAGTGATAATTCATTTCAAAATTTGATGCCACATGACAGTTATCAAATGACATTAGCTGTGCCCGTATGGTGACACTATAACAAAAGCTGTACTCTGTGTTTCCCCAGCCTGCTTAGCTGTAAAAGGGTTAGCACAAGTTTTCATTTATTCATTAGGATCCCCATTAACGGACACATCAAGCCAGTCTGATGTCTGCAGACACACACACCCATGATGATGCATGATTCAAAGTTTCTAAATGTGTGTGTGTTAAATGCGGGAGGAACTTC